ACATGGTGAAACCCTGTTTCTACTAAAAAAACAAAAAAAAAAAAAAAAAAAAAAAAAAAAAAAAAAAAAAAAAAAAAAAAAAAAGTATTATAAAGCAGACCTTAAGATGAGAAGAAAAGAAAAAAATAAAAATAAATGTTTAAAAATTTGCACAAATGGAAGTTTTTTGTTTGGTTGGTTTCTTGTTTTGTTTGTGTTTTTGAGACAGAATCTTGCTCTGTCCCCCAGGCTGGAGTGCAGTGGCTCAATCTCAGTCTCAGCTCACTGCAACCTCTGCCTCCTGGATTCAAACAATTCTCCTGCCTCAGCCTCCCAAATAGCTGGGATTACAGGTGCACATCACCATGCTAGTATTTGTATTTTTAGTAGAGACGGGGTTTCACCATGTTGGCCAGGCAGGTCTTGAACTCCTGACCTCAGGTGATCTGCACACTTCGGCCTCCCAAAGCGCTGGGATTACAGGTGTGAACCACTGTGTCTGGCCTAAAGAAGTTTTTATTGCAGCAAATGCCAGTTATAAACCTTTTTACTTGGAAAAAAATTATGGTGGACATTAATAACTAGACAAAACACTTTTGTTGTAGGTGAAGCTAGCCATTGTAAATTCCTAAATACTAGAGTAACATAAGGAAATGAATAATTTAGAAAGATTAGTAGGGTAGTGGTATACAAAATGGATGGAGCACAAGAATTCTAATTGGTGTGGGGAAGGAAGCCAGGATTAAGAACCATAATTAGAAAGCCATTGCAATAAGGTAACTGAGTGGCAACCAGAGCCAATAATGGTGGCTGACTTTTCTTTCTCTTATTAAATATAGATTTTGTTAAAATTTTGAAAAATGCAGAAATAGGAAAATAAATTTCCCATTATTCCACGACTGAAGTAAATGGTGTCAATATATTAGTTTCAGGCTGGGCTTGGTGGCTCACGCCTGTAATCTCAATCCCTTGGGAAGCCAAGGCTTGAGGATCACTTGAAGACATGAGTTCGACCAGCCCGCAAAATAACAAGGGCAATATAACGAGACCCTGTCTCTACAAGAAAATTTAAAAAAAAAAAAAAAAAAAAATTAGCTGTGGTGGCACGCGCTTGTAGTCCAGCTACGCAGGAGGCTGTGTTGGGAGGATCACTTGACCCAGGAGTTTGAGGCTGTTTTTCCTAAAAGGAAAATAAAAATAAGTAAGTAAATAAATAAATCGATATATGTGTGTGTGCGTGTGTGCACGCACACACAGACAATTTAAAGGATATTAAATGGGGCTTGGTAACTATACAGACCCAGGCCGAATCAATTCTATCAACACTGGCCTCGGCCAGCCAACATTCCAGCCCCAAAAGTCACGGGATCGTGTTTCTATTGTTGCTCCAGCGCCGGAACAGAAGGATGTGTGTTCTCTCCTTTTGCGGAACTCTATGGTCCGAGAACGCCACTGTAACCCCGGAAGCAATTCTAAGAGGTCGGGAGCGGCAAGATGGCGGCGCGGACAGCGCTCGGCGCCGTGTGCCGGCGCCTCTGGCAGGTACCGGGTGGGTTAGGGAGTCTAGGAAGGCTGACCGTGATAGTTTCCCTGCTACCAGCCGCTCTGCACATCAGGATTTTTCCTGATATTTATCCTTCACCTTGCGCCGTTTACAGGAAAGTGACGAGAAAGGGGCTGGTTTAATCAGAATTCTCGTGGAATTAAACATAAATTAACGAATTCGGGTTAAGATAGGCGCCAGAATAATCGTAGAATGTCAGAGCTGGAAAAGATATTGTACTTCCTGTGTTCCAAAACCCCACCTTTCACGTTTGCAAAATAAGCTGAGGCTCAGAGAAGACAAGACTTTTGCGTCGCGAAAATTAGCTGGTGCAAGATCTCAGACTCCATGGAACTAAATTGAGATGCATTCCTGGCACTCAGATTTAGATGAAGGTCTCAAGCCAGAAGAGTGAGTTAGATATCCTCTGCGTAGTTATTTGGAGGAGAAGCAAAAACTTTTCAGCAGCGGTTCTCATGCTTTTTGGTCTTGAGATCACTTCACACTTTCGGAGTTGAGGAATCCAAAGAGCTTTTTTGCTGTTGTGGGTTTTAGCTATCTATATTTAGCTTTTTAGAAAATAAAACTTAAGAATATGTGTTGATTTAAAAGTAACAATAACTCATTACATGTTATAACTAACACTTTATGAAAAATAACTTTTTCTGAACAAACTGAGTGCGGAGCAGCAATGTTTTACGTTTTTGCAGCCCTCTTTCGTTTCCGGCTTAATAAAAGACAGCTAGATTCAAATCTGCTTCTGCATTGAATCTTTTGACATATCACACCTCACGCTGTTACGGGAAAACTTCACTGTACACTGGTAAGAGAATGAGTGGGAAAGTTTTAAATAAAATCTTAGTATTATGAAAATAGTTTTGATTTCCTGGATCCTCCAAAAGTGTCTCAGAGACCCCACAGACATCCTCAGACCACACTTTTGAGAACCACTGTTTTTTGCTTTTGTTCACTATTACTGGATTGTGCTAGCAGTTTATACAAATGCTAGAAATGGAGTTGTCATTTAGCCATCATTAGCCATGAACAAACCTGACCTTTTATTCCATCATGTGTGTAACATGGTGTGACATGGTTCCCTTTGGGCTGAAGACAGTGAGAGCAGGACAGCAAGCAGTTGCTTGCTCTCCAACTAGGCAAGGTCCTTTCAACTAAACCAAGAGTATAGGAGTCTTGACTACTTTCAGGGTGTTTTTTTAATAACCTGATCCACATGGCCTCTTCTTGCAGCTGCTACTAAATTTTTGATTCAGAATATTAAGCTATGGTCCTTTTTGTAATCTTAACTCAAAATTCTAGGAGCTTAACCTCTCTTTTATTATTATTATTTATTATTATTATTTTTTGAGACAGAGTTTTGTTCTTGTTGCCCAGGCTGGAGTGCAATGGCACGATCTTGGCTCACTGCAACCTCTACCTCCAGGGTTCAAGCGATTCTCCTGCCTCACCTTCCTGAGTAGCTGAGATTACAAGCATGTGCCACCACACCCAGCTAATTTTTGTATTTTTCGTAGAGACAGGGTTTCACCATGTTGGTCAGTCCGGTCTTGAACTTCTGACCTCAAGTGATCTGCCTGCCTCAGCCTCCCAAAGTGCTGAGATTACAGGCATAAGCTACCATGTTCTTAAGAAAAATCAGATGGTGTTAGAGGTTGAAATTTCTGAACTGTTTTATTAAGACAGATTTACCCTGACAGCCCTCCCTTCCAAACCAGCCCCCAAACACACACACACACTCTCTCAAGAAATACAAAGAAAAATGCAATTTTAAAACTTCTTAAGATTGATTCGTGGATGTAATAGCACTTTAGACTCCAGCTTTTAAAAGCAGAGGTCTTTAAAGCCGGGCGTGGTGGCTTATGCCTATAATCCCAGCACTTTGGGAGGCCGAGGCAGGGGTATCACTTGAGGTCAGGAGTTCTGGAGCAGCCTGGCCAACATGGTAAAACCCTGTTTCTACTAAAAAAACAAACAAACAAAAAATTGCTGGGTGTGGTGGCAGGTTTTTGTCGTTCCAGTTACTCAAGAGGCTAAGGCAGGAGAGTCACTTGAACCCAGGAGGCAGAGGTTGCAGTGAGCCAAAAATTCAGCCACTGCACTCCAGCCTGGGCAACAGAGAGAGACTCCGTCTCAAAAAAAAAAAAAAAGCAGAGGTTTATGGTGGGAGAACATGACTGAGAAGTGTAATGTTCTTGCTCCTCTTGCACAACTAGATTGTGGGGTCACTGGCATAATTGTTGGGAGGGAATTTTCTATGGGATTATGTCTGAAGAATGGCACATACCTCTTACCACCTTGTATTTGTACCTGATTTCCTTTTTCCTTTTCTTTTCCCCTTTGGTGCAAGAAAGGTTATAGAGTTACGATTTGTCTCTATCTTGGGTAAAAAGAGGAAGGACAGTAAGCTAAGAATAGGCTTTTAAAACATGGCTGGGTGGTGGCTCACTCCTGTAATAATCCCAGCACTTTGGGAGGCTGACGCTGAAGGACTGCTTGAGCTGTCCTTCCTCATAATATGACGAAACCATATTCCTGGGAAATATGGCAAAACCCCATCTCTACAAAAGTACAAAAAATTAGCTGGGCCTGGTGGCCCGTGCCTGTAGTCCTAGCTACCCGGGAGACTGAGTTGGGAGCATCACCTGAGCCTGGGAGGTCCAGGCCATGATCGTGCAACTGCGCTCCAGCCTGGATAACGGAGTGAGACCCTGTCTCAAGAAAAATCCAAAAAACAAACAAAAACATACTTAAGTGACCATCAGTTGTTTTAATGAAACTTCATTTATGCTAAACTTATTTTCATTTTCTTTTTTTTTCCTTTTTTTGAGATGCAGTCTTGCTCCACCGCCTAGCCTGGGGTGCAGTGGCATGATCTCGGCTCACTGCAGCCTCCGTCTCCCGGGTTCAGGCAATTCTCCTGCCTTGGCCTCCCAAGTAGCTAGGATTACAGGCGTGCTGCCACCACGCCCGGGTAATTTTTGTGTTTTTAGTAGAGACAGGGTTTCATCATGTTAGCCAGGCTGCTCTGAAACTCCTGAAACTCAAGTGATCCTCCCTCCTTGGCTTTTCAAAGTGCTGTGATTACAGGTGTGAGCCACTGTGCCCGGCCTTATTTTCATCTTCATTGTGTTGTTAAGGATCCTATTGTGTTTCCACTTTCTCAAGTTACACTGCAAAATCTCAGAAAAGTTTAAAGGAAAAAACAGTTAGCTGTTAGATGTAGTAGTACAATTTAAGTTTCCTAAAACTGGAAAGTCTTGTTCCACCAGGGGGAGCTAATGGTAAAGGATTTGGAAATGCCGGTTTGCTTTATCATGTGGCACAGTAGTTAATGATGAGCATAAGTTGCAGCACATATTTCAATTTATTTATAAGCTGGTTGTCCCAGCCGAGCTAAGAACTGTGTATGCTTAGGCCGGGCGCGGTGGCTCACGCCTATAATCCCAGCACTTTGGGAGGCCAAGGCGGGTGGATCGCGAGGTCAAGAGATCGAGACCATCTGATCAACATGGTGAAACCCCGTCTCTACTAAAAA